ATGCCCTGGGTGGGCTACTTGGGACTCTGCTTTTTTAAGATAGATATCTCAACTTGATTTAGCCTAAACAATACCCTTAGAGAGAGGCATTTATATAGATTTGGTTATTAATTCATGATTAAAAAAAGAAAATACTGAGGGACACAGTAATTTTGGTGAGTAAAGGCATTCTCATTAATCCTGTTTGTTCTTTGGTTTCCTGATCTTCATATAAGCAAATAAATGTGCAGTTGGAAAAGTAAAATACTTATTTGGATTTTTCAGTTATCCTCTGGATGGTTTTCCTTATATGGACATAGTCTATATGTGACAAAGTGAGGAACGATATACAAGGTTATTTTCTCACTGAACCAGGTTTTCTCAGGGCTTGTGCTAAAAGCCGGGCTAACAGAGGCATATTAAATATTTCCAATTCTGTATCAAGAAACCAAATAGTAATGTTTACCTTCAAGTGAAAAACGTTAATCTACAGTTCTATCAAGTGCACATATGTGGCCACTTAGTGTGGGTTGGATAGAATCATGGGACTGAAATCAAAGCTGAAGCCAGGGATAGTTAGCATTACCCTGTCTCATGGGCACAAAGTGAACTCCTAAGGACATCTTATAAATGTGTGCTCTTAGCCACAAGTGGGTTTGGTTAGAAAATGTAGACAAGTTCAGGAAATATGGCCCTGATCTTAGAAAAATGATGCAAGCATGTGGTATTGATGGTGGCCCAAACCTCATCTTTTTAACCATTGGTCAATATTAGATTTAGTATCTATGCCTTCTGTTTCAGGGACAGCTGCTGCCTAAAGAAATCACCCAGGAGGAGAGCGCAGGAGAGTGGAAAGTATGATTTCTTTTCTAAAATTTTAAACATTCACAAGAATATTATTTCATAAAATGTCAAGATTTTAGGATGTACTTTGCCTGATTAGAGCAGCAAAGTCTGACAAATCAAAAGAATGTTAACCCAGTTTTCATATTGTAAGTGCTAGAATGATCTCTTCTGTACTTTCTATTTAATGCTTATACAATGAAGATGGTTAATAAGAGTTTAAGAGCCCATCACCAGAGATATATAAGTAGAATAATTTTAAAGGCACTTTCTTTGAAGACATTCTAATTAAAATTTTGGCCAAGGGGCAATGAAATTAGTATTACTAACTCTGTTTGTCATTCAGGAAACTGAGGCATAGAAAAATCATCTGCTAAAGATGACACCTGAGTCAGGGAGCAGATGAAAAATGACAAGTAATATAATAAGCAGGAGTATAAACTGAATCATATACTTGCATAGTCAGAACCAACTCATCTAAATATGTATTTTCAGGTTTTCTATAAAGCACCAGAGACTTTAACATAAAAAAGGACAAAAATAGATATGATAGGAGTAAAAAGTTCCTCATAGCAACAGTAAGTTGTTTTCCTTAGATGCTGAAGTCATTCTCAGGATTGAGCTTTGAAGCAGAGCAGGACCATGTGACATACTGTAGTCATTCCCTGCACAGCTTGTTTCTGGCACATTAGGTTAAATGTTTCAGCTTTGTAAGATGAGACTCAGTGGTCCAACTTTGTTAGAAACTATACTGGTAAGATCATAAAAGAGATAGACAGTGTCATAAAACAAATGTTTTTGAGCCTGAGTGATAGGGGCTCTACTCTAAGTCAGATGGATTTTTAGTGATGTTAGATACATCCCAGAAAAAGAATTCCAGTGAACCTGTTTTCTCGTCCAGTAGCACAAAGTATGAACAAGAACATGGCCTGTGTTGTGCTGACCACACACAGCAGAGAATGGACTCTGATTCTAGTTTTTGATCTGCAACTTACTGGTCGTAAGATCTCAGACAAGATCATTAACCTCTTGGGCTATGGTCTCACCATCCTTAAAATAAGATGGTTGGACCAGATTAACCTCTAATTCCTCCCAGATGTAGTTTTCTAGGATTTTTTGGCTATGAATCTACAGAGTGAGTCAATTGCTTTTTGCCGGAAAAACAACTGGGTTTACTGATTTCCCACCTCCTTCCACACCCTCACTGACTGTCCCAAATTCTTACTTTATTCTGGTACATATGATGCTTCAGTTTAAAGGGGCATATAAGCTACTTGTTAGGTTAGTTACTTGCTACTAAGTAGACTGAATATTAGTATATTGTTTGTTTAACAAGTTACTTCAGTATCATATATAATGTAAAATATTCATCCCCGAGGGTCTGAGAGTTTTCACACATGTTCCCAAACATACAACTAGTTGGGATTCACTTCTAGAGGAGAATGATTACTTGGCAGAACATAAATTTTAAAATATAATATGTTAGAGTGAGGGTTTTGGACCTAGAAAATCTCAACAAAGACTTACATGCTTCCTAGGGAAGCCAGTAACTTTTTGTCCCAATACAGAAAATAGTA